GAGCATCTGAGGCTCTGGGCTCTCTGTCCAGTGCGTGCCTGTCTGGCTTTCCGAGGTTAGCCCTCTGAGAGCACAGTGGGAAATCTGAGCTGTATAAAAAGCTTCCGTGTGGAGACCACATGGCAAGTGGAGAGAGAAAAGTCTTTCTCTGAGGATACATTATGATGTGGTCGAAAGAATCTGCCACCTGTGACCAGGCTGCGATCCTTTTCCTGTGACGTGTGTGCGTGGGCGGGCAAAGGCAGAGACGAGCGTGTGGTAGATGATAGGTAGCACCTGCGAAGAGGTATTTCTTCATCTCCAGTCTGGCAAAGCACAGCAGTTCTCTTCCCGGGGAGTAAGCGCTTTCAATTAGCAGGGGCAGAGAAAACCGAAAAGAAAAGGAAATGCTTTTCCTTTTCACACAAACTGTATACAGTAGACATTTTTAATAGAATAGATGGGTCTTAAGTATCCATCACAGGTAAAGGCCTATGAAAAATGAAGTATAAAACCTGTCTCTTATTCCTTTAATAGTCCACATAAGAATACAAGGCAGGAGTACAGTATGTGAATAATTAGGGACAAAAGTAAAATGTCACTTAAGGTATAACTATAAATAAAAGTGCTGGCAATGAGAGAGACTTCCCAAAATTGAAAGGTCACTTGGGCTGATAGGACACTTCATGGAATGAGATAGGACGCTAGGCCTTGACAGATGGTAATTTTAGATTGGGGGATTATTTTAGGGAGAGAAGATGGTATGAGAAAATACTTGTATTAGGGCTTCCCACCCTTCTAAGGAAAAGGGATCTTATATGTGGACTGAAAGAATGTTGACAGATTGGAAGAATTTTCAACATCGGGAAAGAAATGGGCAAGATCTGGTCATCTTACAAATAGTAATGCTCTGTACATTCTCAGACATGTCTTTTGGGTACATATGTTCTCTTACCAGTTGAGTATCCAGGAGAGGAATTGCTGGGTCATGGTACATACGTATGTTCTATTTTAGTAGATTCTGCCAAGCACTTTTCTAAAAGAGATGGTATCAATTCACAGCCCCTTCAGCAGCGTGTTGCTTCTTATCTTTGTCACCACTTGGTATTGGCAACTTAAAAAAATTTACTCATTGTGGTAGGTGTGTGGTAGCATATTTGACATTGTTTTGCATTTCCCCTGATGAATGTTTGAGCAACATTTTATATAATCTTTGTTTAGATGCTTTGTGAATTGTGCCTTTTCAAGTACCTTGTCCATTTTTGAAAATGGGTTACTTGTGGTTTCCTGATTGATTTGTAGTAGTTTTAAACCCAGGCCTTTTATTGGATGGATGTATTACAAATTTTTCCCCTCTGTGGCTAGCATTTTCAGTATCGTGATGGCATCGTTCAATAAACAGAAGTTCTCGGTTTTAATTAATCCCACATTATCAGTCTTTTCCATTACGGTCAGTGCCTTCTGTTTCTTCAGGGACGTAGCTTATCCTGGAAGCTGCAGTAAATTGTTACAGTGGTGACCCCGGTGCCTGCCCCTCTGTCCACACCCCTTTGCTGTTCTTCCATCAGGAGATGGAGTCCATTCCCCCGCCTCCAAGTGGAACGGCCTGTGACTGTTCTGACCAAAGTTAGACACGTTGCTAAGCGGCTTCGGAGACTAACACTTCAGCGGTCTTTTGCAGTTTCTGCTTTTGCCATCGTGCTGGTCAGAGTATAAATTGGGAGGAATTCTGAAAAACTATTTGGGCTCTAGTCTACCAATGCAGTTAGTGAGACCTATTAGCAATCTCAAATGGGGCAGTACTGGCATAAGAATAAATAGACCAGCCCTGGCCGGTTTGGCTCAGTGGATAGAGCATCGGCCTGTGGACTGAAGGGTCCCAGGTTCAATTCCAGCCAAGGGCACATGACCAGGTTGCAGGCTCAATCCCCAGTGGGGGGCGTGCAATTATCCTGAATCCATTAAATATTCGCATGGGGGTGGAATGAACTTCGGTTCTTTTCTGAACTACCATCTCCCTGTTTCTTGTCCCACCTACTCGTTGTTACCTTTTTTCCTCCTTTCTGGTCTTTTCTATCAACCACATATTTTTTACTATTCAGTTTCCCCTCTAATAGTTTCTCAGTTATACATCCCTTTATTGTTCCTGCGTTTCTCCAGGATCGTGGGTGAGTGAGCGAGCGCCTTAGGTGTTTATCAGGGCCTGCCGTCTCGACAAGCACCGGACAATTTGTCTTCCCAGAACCACGAGACCAGAAATCTCCGCTTACCTTTTTAGACTCCCAGATGCTGCTGCTTGGTTTCTAAGCCTCTCCGCCTGCACGTGATAAACGTAGGAACAGCGAGTGTCCCTCAGGGGAAATGACACGCTGACTGTTCAAGTCCCTCCTCTGCAGTTACTTCTTCTCCAGGATCCTCAGACCTCCCAGTGCAGTGAAACTGTAGGCCGCCACTTTCTCTCCCACCTCTGTGCCTAGGGACATGCATAAGAACGTGCCCTTGAGTAAACACCGGGATCAATGTAGGGCCCCCTTCTGTGCTTTTCTCATACTCCCTAGATCCTGGTAATGGTATTCGGCTTCTATAGATGTGTGTGGAGGACTGGCCTTACACAAGCTCCTCCATCTGAGTAAAGAAAACATTGTGACAGGAAGACCGATTAGATGTGAACTAGAGCAGCAGTCACCAGCCGGTGGTCTGTGGACCACTGGTGGTCCGTGAGGTCCGAAAGGTTGGCGACCTCTGAACTAGAGGGTATTCTATACACAGACAATCTACTGTGTCTGTGTACTCTGGTTGGAAAGGTGTGGACCTGTACTTTTCAGGACGTTATACAGCCCATGGGACTATATGGGGTTGGGGTTTGTCTTTTAATAGAATAAAATCAGAAATAATTGTGTTCAATAATGCCCCCAAATGCCATACCACTCGACATATAGTATAAAAAATATTCAGGAAAGCCCTAGCCGGTTTGGCTCAGTGGATAGAGCATCGGCCTGTGGACTGAAGGGTCCCGAATTTGATTCCAAGCTGCGGGCTCGATCTCCAGTATAGGGGGCGTGCAGGAGGCAGCCGATCCATGATTCTCTCTCATCACTGATTCTCTCTGTCTCTCTCCCTTCCTCTCTGAAATCAATTTTTAAAAAAATATTCAGTAAAAATAGGCCATTAAATAATCTATTGAAATTTTTCCAAATGTATTGGTTTACTTGGACAAATTGGACTGGATTAGTGATGATTAAGAGTATAAGCCTTTTAACATCGAGTGTGGATAAAGAGTCATGTACCATCACGACTGAATTTTGCTGATATGCAGAAATCTCCTGGACACTTTGACAGTGGCTGCCAGCAGCTCTGTCTCACCAGGGAAGCTTAACATGTTTTCGTTTTGAGCTGTCAAGCAAAGGGCCTGAGGCCAGTGCAGTCTGAGGGACCGGGATAAAAGGGACAGGAGGTCAGAGATTGTTTTGAAATAACTGAGATGTCTCAATGTAATTCTTTGCATGAAGAATGTTAAGCTACAACTGAGAATTTTAAATGTCTAGTACTGAAATATCTTCAAAGGGCAGACTTAACATAGCTGGTAATTTTTCCCAAAGTCCTAGTAAAAATGTCCCTATGATTTCTTATTAAATGACTTTTATTTGTATTATAAAATACACCAAATAAAAAAAAAACTAAGATTTTAAAAACGAATATTAATACTATCAAACTGTCAAAACCTAGGAGCCTAACTTAAAGGCTTTTCGTGATCTTCCCTATTAAAACACATGCGATTTTATTTTTCTTTGACCTTAAATAGCCAACTTTAGAAATGACATTTGGCTCCTATACCCAATATTCTTTGGAAATAACTTATCATTCATTACTGTCCAGAAGAGTAAGAAAAAAAGATATAAAAATAAGATTTAAAATGGATTTGGGTTTCTGTTTCACTAATTAAAACTAAAACTGGCACCACCAGCCTTCTGAGATTTACACTCCTGGTCAGCAAAAGGACCTGGTTAATTCTAAGTTGTCAATACTTATTAAGTTGGCCGGAGGGGAATCACATCTCTCATTTCCCATCTTACATCAGGCCAGGGTCAGGCAGAGACTGTGAAGACTGTTCTGCACTGAAGTGGAGCACCGCCTCCCCGAAGAGAGGGCCCTATTCGCATTTCTGTTGATAAGGGCCCAGAAGTGTGTGCATCTAGTTACACTGACGGTGTCATCCTGCTTGGTTTGTTGCGTATACACCGTGAGACAGTTAACTTTTAAATTTGCTGTTCTATACAACAGCCTGTTGTTATATTACCAATGCCACTGCACAAGTACCACATCACAGTTCACTGTCACTTCTTTCTTTAGTGGTTAGACAATTGCAAGAGGACATTTGGCGCCAAAGAAGACATTTATAGGATCAACACAGATGCACAAGTAAGTTTCCTATTCTTCGTTTTGCTGTATTTCTGTACCGGGTAAAACTGTGTGCATGCTCTAATGTCCTTATGTGATAGTCCTAGAAAAAAGAATACGTGTAACATTTTTCATTTTTGCTATCGGAGCAATCTTTGTAAAAGTTAGGTTCAATGAAATACTGGCTTAGTAATGAAAAAATTCACTTCAATCAAAGTGAATGACCAGCTTATGACTGAAACTTAATAACATTCAGTAGATAGGCTTGATGGCTATCTGGACAGTCCAAGTCACTTTTAGCTGCATCTGCCTCTTTCAAGAAATGTCTGTTCTTCATTGGTATTCTGCAGATAAATGGTCTGGTCAGGAATGCAAACCCAAAAATAAGGGTATATACATTCATATTAACCTTTCTAAACATGAAATTCTGATTGGATAAACTGTAATTTTTTTTACTAGTGTAAAATTCAATGAAATAAAATAGTATTTTCTTAGAGAAAAGTATACATATACAACACATACATCATATTAAGTGAGGATAAATTAAGACTTACAAATTATTCTAATAAGAGTACAACTTCATATGGGGAAGATACATTCATCAGTGACCTTTGCATTTGACATCAGAATTCTAATCTTTTTCAACATCAGTTATATTGTTATAGAGTTCTAGTCACTGTAAAAGTTATGGTACCATTATAAAGAAAATTTGAAGTTTTCTAAAAAACTGAAATGCTGAGGAAATAATGGCATACTCTTAATACATGTTAACTATTTGCCAGGCACTGTACTAAGTATTTCACATTCATTCTCTCTATCTTAACAACTCTGTCTAGTAGATGCTATAATTATCCCCATTTTGCAGATGAGGAAATTGAGGTTCAGAGAAGCTAACTTATCTAAAATCAGTAAGTAGCCCTAACTGGTTTGGCTCAGTGGATAGAGCGTCAGCCTGTGGACTGAGGGTTCCCAGGTTCGATTCCGGCCAAGGGCATGTACTTGGTTGCGGGCACATCCCCAGTGGGAGTTGTGCAAGAGGCAGCTGATCGATGTTTCTCTCTCATCGATGTTTCTAACTCTCTATCCCCTCTCCCTTCCTCTCTGTAAAAAAATCAATAAAATATATAAAAATTAAAAATAAATTAAAAAATCAGTAAGTAAATAAGTAGAATTAAAATTCAAACCTAGGCAGTCCTGCACTGTTACAAAGAAATTGTCAAATCATGTGTGTAAAATAAGGAATTAACCCTGAATTAGAGTTAGATTCCTTGGTTCTAGTTCTGACTTTGCCACTACTTAACTGCATGGCTTAAGCAAGTAATATACTCCTTTTTTCCTATATAAATTAGGTGTTTAGACTAAGTGATTTCTTATATCCCTTCTACCTTGAAGAAAACGAGTTCCATCTCCCAAAGTCTACGTCAATTAATCTTACTCAAGGTTTTCTGCTAAATGAAAACTATACATTTAAGATTTCATTTACGTCTCTCTCCTTTCTTATTCAGCTCTTGAGTGGGGATCTTTTTACACATTATCTGTTAAGTGTCCCTGTGTACCAGTGTAGTCTTTTGCATAACAAGCAATCTATAAATAGTTATTTAAAAATAAAAGAGAATGTATATGCAAATTTCAATGTACTTAAAAGGTATTAATTTAAAATATACAGTGTTAGCATATTTAGTATAATTTATGGTAATTCAGAGCTATAGAATCAATTACGATTGTGTTATTTCCTACAATTATGATCATAAACATTATCAGTGATTTCTTCTCCATTACATCCCATAGTAGAGGCTATGGATATATGCACATAGAGTTAGCTCTGTTTTTTTATTTATGCTAAGAGAAGAGGGAAAAAGTATTTAAAACTCAAATAATTATTAATTCCCATATAAAACCTTAGAAATTTAGATATGCTAATAAGTTTGACATTGGATTGTGCTCAACTAATGTTCACAGAATGGCTGCCTAAGTAATTTATGGTAAGCAGTAGGGAGCTAAAAGTTCACCTTTGCTTAGCAAATCCTTTCTAAATTGAAAGGAATAAATGTTATATAAGTAGTTCTTCAGCGGATACTTAGAAAAGGCAGGCTTCAAAGGGGACTTTTAGAAGCAGTATTTACATTATGGCAATTGCTGTTTTAAATAGAAAACATTTTTCTTCGTTAATGAGTAGGTCTGAGTTGCTGTAGATGTTTTAATGTAATAGTTTTTAAGTATGTATTTTACATACATTATCTTATTTGATTCAAACCTAGTAGGTTTGAGTTTCTGAAGTTTACTAAATTATATTGGAATGCAATTTAAAACACACATCTGCTTTCGCTATTTTACCTCCTGGCTTGGCACCAATTCTGGCAACATAGGACCTAATTAGACAGTGAAAGGTAGGAAGCCTAGAATGAGCCACACCAAAGATAATCTTCTCGTAGGTGAGTATTATTAAGATTATAAGCCACCTCCTTTCTGAGAACAGTAATCTTATTTCCTAATGAGAAATTTTCTCCTTTCCTAAGAAAATTTTATGACACTTGGCATTTTTTAAAAAGCTATAAAGATTTATTAGATAAAGACCACTTATAATAGCCAGATTTCTCAAGAACACATTAGTTCGATTTTCTTCATAACTGTTACACAGAAATAAACTGTAGCCTAAATATAAATTTTTATTTGGCAAAGCATTAAAAAAACACCCTGGATTGCTACAGTAAATGTCTAAAAAGTTTTATTCTGGAAATGGCATCATAAATTTTTCTTTGGGGTGTGATTAAATGTTCTTCAGTTTGCCTGGGACATCTGTGACCCTAGTTAAAATGATCTTACACTAATTCTTGGTCTTTTTCTTCCTTTGTATTTTTGTGACCCGATCACCTTCTTGCTTAGCAAATGGAAATTCTAGCAGTAAGTGACCTGTCTTAATTTACAGACTATTTATCCATGTCAGACAAACTGGTTTTCATTTGCCATTTGTGACCGAGCAGTGTTTTGTCATGGACGGCTACTTTAAAAGTAGTGTGCGCTTCAGGTTTGCATAGCCCTAATCTATGAAATGTGGTCCAATAAAAATGTGATTTTATAATCAATATGTACAACTAGCACTTGCCTTCTCATACATTTACAACTAACATCTCCTTTTAAGTTTCTTCATTTTGAAAATCAAAGTGCAAATGTTAATTTCATTGTCTCATTTCAATGAGATTACAGTGTGTGTTTTTAGAAAAATTCATTTTTAGCTAAGCGATTATCCAGTTTTACTCTGCTTTAACAAGCACTTATTGCTAAATGTAGTGAGATATATGTATCATGATGCGGCAAAAGCATATGCATTTGAATTATGAATTTAAAGTTTTAAGTAACAGTGAATCCTTTTTAAAGCATTCAATATATTGTCTGCTTTAAAATTGTCTAATGTGAAAATGTGCTTCACACTAAAAATGAATTATGTAACCAACAATACCTTTAATCAGTCTTCAAAGCATCTTTCATCAGCTTCATACTGTATTAACTTGCTTACTGCAGAAAAATAAATGGCAGGACAATTTTAACAGCTATTTTACAAATTTGTTGGAAATATGTGGTCTAGTCAAATATGGAAAATCACACCTAAACTGTAATGCGATGTTATTTATTTCTAGGAGCTGGAGCTCTGCCGGAGATTATACAAACTGCATTTTCAATTACTGCTTCTGTTCCAAGCCTACTGTAAACTTATCAGCCAAGTAAACGCAATAAAAAATGAAGCAGAGGTAAATATTTAATTGTACTAGGCATCAATTAACTGATTCTAGAAAGTTAAAATGTACACATGCATATATACTGTATATATCCCTTGTAGGAGAGCTTAAGTCCAAAGTCACACATAATGAATCATTTCTTATCAGAATTGTTCTTTGAAATGATACGCTATTTCCAGACCTATTAGTAAATGAGGCAGTAGATACCCAGCAGTCTTAAAAGGATCATGACCTTAAAGGTCACAGTAGCAGCAATAGATCATCTGTAATCGAAAGTCTGGTAAAGCGCATCAACCCCATATAGACATTATATTATGAAACCCCCTAACATCTTGTCCATCTATTATTTTGTAGTCTAATAATGCACACGAGAATCAGCATATAGTGAATAGATTCAGAGGTAGTGACTTTAGTCTCTTTTTCCCCCATTTTCAATCACTGGGGAAATGATTTAATATTTTTTAAGAGGTTAAATGTAAAAGGATATACATACACATACTGGTTTATATAAAATACATTGGGCTGCCCAGCCAGTGTGGCTCAGTGGTTGAGCATTGACCTATGAACCAGGAGATCATGGTCAGGGCACATGCCTGGTTTGCAGGCTCGATCCCTGGTAGGGGTTGTGCAGAAGACAGCTGATCACTGATTCTCTCTTATCATTGATGTTTCTATATCTCTCTCTCCCTTCCTCTCTGAAATTACACTGGGTAAATAACCTTTTAAAATATAAAGACTTTGCTGTCAAAAAAAATGTTTATGATCCCTCCTAACAGTAAATGTATCTTTACTATCCAAGATGAAGTACAGATCACATGTTAAAATCAATATAAACATTAGTTACAACCTGTTTTACTTATTACAATGTAACATTTATTACACTTATTACAACCTTTTTTTTTTTATTTTAATTTAGAGAGGAAGGGGATGGGAAGAGAAAGATAATCGATTTTTTTGTTCCACTCATTTATGCATTCATTGGTTGCTTCTCGTATGTGCCCTGACCGGGGATGGAACCCGCAACCTTGGCATAGCTCTAACCAACTGAGCTACCCAGCTAGCGCCAACCTGTTATTTTATCCAGAGTATTTAGAAGACTACTATTGGGTGGCTAAAATTATTTATCCCTACTCAACAGGGAACTTAACTGCCCTTAAATAGTAAGCTTAACATTTGAACATCTTTGTCACAGCCAATTAAATGCCTGTTTTGTTGATGAATATACAACTAGATCCCTTTAAGGTGTGTTTACTTTTAGGTCATCAACATGTCCGAGGAACTGGCCCAGCTGGAAAGTATCCTCAGAGAAGCAGAGTCCGCTTCTGAAAGTGAAGAAACCGACATTTCCAAAGCTGCACAAACTACTATAGAAACTGCCATTCACTCTTTAATTGAAACTTTGAAAAATAAGGAATTTATATCAGCTGTAGCACAAGTCAAAGCTTTCAGGTAAAATGTGAACGGATTTTAAGGAGATGCCTTTATACCTGCGATTTTCAACCTTTTTCATCTCGTGACACACAAACTAATTGCTAAAATTCTGTGGCACACCAAAAAATACATTTTTTTGCTGATCTGCTAAAAAAAATTGTATAATTTTGATTCATTTACACCACGTAGCTATTTTTGTTAGCTGCTGTAACTTTTTTTTTTTTTTTTTTTTTGACAATCTAAGGGAAAAGAGGTCAGTCCCCCTAACTAACTAGTCAGGTATTGCATGTTTTGAAATTCCTGTGGCACACCAGTTGAAAATTCCCGCTTTATTAGACTGGGAGTTTACAGTGATTGGGTTTTGGTTTTCATTTTGATGGTTCAATAGCAGATCTCTGTGAAAGGCAAACATGATTTTGTTCACTCTCTGATAAATTCGGTAATCTTTTTGCTCAAATATTAAAACATGCCCAGTGATGCACAATGAAATGTTGTCGTCTCAGGTGGTAACTTAAAATGTAGTTAACCTTAATAACTGCCGGTGGGGTCTCAGAACTTAAAAGCACTGTGTATCACTTTCAGATCGCTCTGGCCCAATGACATCTTCGGCGGCTGTGAAGAGGACCCTGTGCAGACGCTGTTACACATTTATTTCCATCACCAGACGCTGGGCCAGACGGGAAGCTTTGCAGTTATAGGCTCTGACCTGGACATGTCAGAAGCCAACTACAAACTGATGGAACTCAATCTAGAAATAAGAGAGTCTCTACGCATGGTGCAATCATACCAGCTACTAGCACAGGCCAAACCAATTGGAAATTTGGTGAGCACTGGATTCTGAGAAACTCCCTGGATTTAGGAAAGAAACTAAACTGAAGATTATTAAGAATATTAACAAGCACCTTTTAGGAACCCTTGTAATTCACTGATAACTTTTTCTGGCAGCATCCACAACCACAGTGTAACTAATGTCAAAATCAAAGATCTGAAGAAGAGAAAAAAAAAAACTAATTGTTTAACAGCTGCCAATACCTCCCACGAGAACTACAAAGAAGGGATTTTTAAATTACTTAACCTATGTGGACAGAAAAGGGCTAAAAGTGATGCATACAAGTACGTACATTGCTTTCTGGAGAAACAGATTGTAAGAACGTTTGCAATAATGGCCTCTCATACGGAGACCATTGGAAAGCAGGTGAAATGAGGCTGGTTCGTTTTAGCTGAAGGCCTGCAACACTGCTTGGATTCGTAGCAGTCACGAGCATAACCTACAGTTGATGCTTCATTATCTACATGAAGAACATCCAGTCGGATAGATATACACAGAAACTTATTTGCAAAAACCATTGACTTTTCAATGTGTGGGATCAGGGTGTGGGTGTTTTGTTTTTTAGTCTGTATAAGGAACTGTGCGCGTGTGAGCTGGGGTGTGTGAATACGTGATAGTCCTATTTTCAAGGTATGGGTGTTTGGTGACAACATCTCAGCATGCCTGAAAGAGCACTGCAAGATTATTTTTGAAGAAATTTTATTTTATTAGATCTAACTCTTCATAGTGTGTAAATGTTAGAACATTTTAATAATATTTTAAAACTGGGCTCTCCCAGGATTTCAAAAAGAAATAATATATCTGTTAACGTTATTGGAATGCTGCTCAGTTCTCTGATCAGTGCTTATGTTATGATTGTTGATAACTAACCAAAGTAGATGCCTGCAGAGACTTTAAAATGTAAAATAAAGATGTATGCTGCCCGTCAGCTATTCTCATTAGAAAAGTTAACTTATTTTACTCCATAATTATAGAAACTGTATAGATTAAAACCAGTATTTTTCTTGTACATTTGTGCAATGCACTGTTATACAAGAATAGGTGTACAAAGCTAAAGAAAAAAAATTGTGGTCATTGATGATAGACTACATGACTTGCGGGCTCTGAAGTCTGCAGAATTCAAGAAGAGAGGTGCAAATGCATTTTTATATGTTTATTCGGGACTCAAATGTTTCACCCTACAGGAACCTGGGGTTATGGGGGGAAATGAGAGGAAGCCTGAAGACCGACTACCAAAACATGCAATATACTTAGCCACTGTCTAAGCCTGTAGCATAACATGAACTGGATTCTCTGTCCTTTTTTAAATAGCATTTTGTAAAAGAAATGAATGTAGTCCCACAATTCCTCTGGTTTGAAAGGAACACCCTTGTATTTTTTATATGCATCTCTTATCCACTGTGACTTTTCTTTTAAAACTGGGCTCTGGGGTTCCAGAGTTTAGAATGTAGGAATGAACTGCTTAGCTTTGCCTTTTCTTGGGGGTGTGGACACTGCCAGAAATGTAATTATGCTCAAGTGCATTAATTGAAGGCACGGTGCACCCTGTTGGACTGCTGACTCTAGTTATGTTACCTGTAAAATTCCCTAACTGGTCACGGCACATCCATAATCACTGTATTTTTTGACCCTGATAAAACCAATTATTTTGATGGTGTCCTGGTACTGTAAATGGTGTCCTTTAAATTATTTAGTAACATTTGGGTGTGGGGCAGGGAAGAGAGGGCTGGTGTCCAGAGAGACACCACATTTTACATCCTATCTTACCATCCCCTATTTTTCCTCACCTTCCTTCTATCCTTTTTGTTAAAATAAAAAGCATTGTAGTTGTTGGTTTGTGTTGTATTTTAAGATGAATGATTTTAGTGTGCATCATTTAGAAACTTTACAAATTATCTTCATTATTCAATATGATTTTCCATAAAAGGGGAGAACAAAATTAGTTGATTACCTGCCCTGGCTGGTTTGCTGACAGTGGTTAGAGCATCAGCCCTGAGACTGAAGGGTTGTGGATTTGATTGCAGTCAAGGGCATGTAACTCAGTTGCAGGCTTGCTCCCTGGCCCCCGTCGGGGTGCATGCCAGAGGCAACCTATATGTCTCTCCCTCTCCCTTCCACCTTCTAAAAATCAATAGAAAAAATATCTTCAGGTGAGTATTAACAACAAAAATTAGTTGATTACCCAAATCAAACCTTTCAAACAATTGAAGTTTGCTTTCATGTTTGTTTATATGTAACTACATCCATTAATAATGTAATGAAAATTAACACACCTGCAGAAATCAAGATGCAAATGTACAATTAGGATTGTCCTTTTGCCAAAGGGTTTTCCTCAAACCTGTACTTCTTTGCTCCTGATCCTCTAAATCCACACTATGCACTTATTGACAAAATATATCAAATGTTTAACTTATTAAACACCTTAATCATTTTCAAAATAGTTTACAAAATAAACCAAAAGAAGAGATCTGGACGTTCCCTCACACTACTTCTAAAGTAGAAGGCCAAGGGGTTTTTACACAATGCAGAAAATATTTCCTGCTGTAGGTGACGTAACATAACCGGTTTGGTTACAACCTAAAATTTAGCAAATAGTTACTCATCTCTTGGAACAGACTCACCGAGTCTCCCCGCTTCGGGTCTGTGAGAACTGCTCAGATGCCATGCCAGCATAACTCGACGGGAGGGAAGAAGATACCAGAATCAATGTAATTATAATTGTGTTTTATGACTTTAAAAGTTTTTTTCAAAGTAATACACTTGCTTTAGCAAATGTAGGAAATGTGAAGAAAATTATAATCAATTTCTTGACACCTACAGATCACAGTAATCTGGAGTATTTCTAGACTCTCAATCTCGCTCAAATTCACATTCATAAATTTCTAATTGTATACATACAGCTCAATATCATCTCATTGCTGGAATGTTATCACTGTAACTCTTTAAAAAAAATTTTTTTATTTCAGAAAAAGAAAGGCGGAGAGAAACATTGATTGGCTGCCTCCTGCATGCCCCCTACTGGGGATCGAGCCTGCAATCCAGCATGACCTCCTAGTTCATAGGTGGACATTCAATTGAATCACACCAGCCGGGCATCACTGTAACTCATGAAAATGATGTTTTGTGCCACTTGATTCAATGTCTGAATCCCCACTAAGTAAAACATAGTTTGATCCTTGCTTTTCTCAACTGTAAAATAGGATTAGCTGCTCTATTAGGAAATTTTAATTACCCATGTTAATAGCCAATGAATTTCTCTCAGGACCCAAAGCAGGTATCTTTCTACTGTTCCCTCATTCATTCAGCAAATGCCTGAGAGCATACTGTACACCGCATGCATGCCATACCAGTCAAATGAGTTTCCTATTCCTACACTCAACTAAATCAGTAACAGGTGCCAGAATGAAACAGTACCTTCAACACCACCTAGGGTTCTTGTCACTCATTCCTCTCTGACCCCCAACCCCCATCATTTTATCTGATCTTTGCAGGCCTCCTTACTGATTTACAGACATGCATTGTACAGCCAGAGTTATTTCTTTTTAAAGGTGAATCTGTTGGTCACTATCCCACCATAGCTTTAAAACCTTCCAGTAGGTTCTCACTGATAACAGGTACCTGAGCAAAGTCAAAAAGGTGTTCCCAGTCTGGGCCTGCCAGTCTCACCGACTATCGTGCCCATTCCTGTCCCCAGTGTTCTACCACAGGTCTCCTGGTTTCTTCCACCCCTGGGCCTTTGCACATGTCAGCTTAATCTGGGAAGTTTCTCCTTCCGCCCTTTACCTAATTCAGCTCATCCAAACTTCAGCTGAAGTGTCATTTTTAAAGCAAGCCCTCCCTAAACTGTCCAAGTCCAATCCCCTATTAACATGGCAGAACTTCTATTTTACATTTTTTTAATGCAAAAATGAATGGCCCTCTCCCCCTACATTAGAAGCTCCGTAAGGGCAGAGGCCACACCCATGTTTTTCCGTAGTAAGTGCAAAGCTGACTCAACTGCTGGTTTTCTCACTTCAATTCCATAAGCAACACTTGGGTGCTTGTTAAATGCTGCTGTAGCAATTCAGTGGGGGCAGAAGCCTGGGATCTGAATTTTCACGAGCCACCTTCCTAAGTCCATATGGATGCAGAGGGCCTTTCCCATCGCTCTAAGGCAGTGGTTCTCAACCTTGGCTGCACATTAGAATCACCTGGGAATCTTTTTAAAATCCTGATTTCTGGGCCTCATCCTCCGGAAATTCTGTTTCTTTGTTATGGGGTGGGGCCACAACATTAGTAACAAAGAAACAGAATTTCCAGAGGATGAGGCCCAGAAATCAGGATTTTAAAAAGATTCCCAGCCCTAACCAGTTTGGCTCAGTGGATAGAGCATCGGCCTGCGGACTGAAGGGTCCCAGGTTCGATTCTGGTCAAGGGCATGTAACTTGGTTGGGGGCACATCCCCAGTAGGGGTGTGCAGGAGGCAGCTGATCGATGTTTCTCATCGATGTTTCTAACTCTATCCCTCTCCCTTCCTCTCTGTAAAAAATCAATAAAATATATTTTAAAAATTGTATAAAAAAAGATTCCCAGGTGATTCTAATGTGCAGCCAAGGTTGAGAACCACTGCTCTAAGGGCTCTAGAGACCTCAAACTCATTTCAGGTTTTTATTCCTTGTCTGTCTACATACAAGAATCCCAGATGTTAACAGGCTTACTTTTATGGCACCTCTAAGGTAGTAAGGGTTAACTTAAACGGGTTGGTTAGAAAATTGGAAAGAGACATAATTAGCACCTGGTGCCTGTCATGTGGCATCTGTAACCTTTAAGTCAATAACCCTCAACTCCGTTGTCATTAGAATCCCCTGCCACTAACTGAAGTGCCCCCCCCACCTCCACCCCAGAACTCTTTAATGGGGCCTCGGGGCCTTGTGTTTTCCTGGGACTGGGGTGCAGTTAGAAGAGAATCCTTAGAGATGGCGAAAACACTTTCCAGTTACAGAACAGCAAGTCAATAGAAACAAAGGCTAAAGCTGTCTTCATCAACTCACTTGAAAAAATCCTTACACTTAGGAGGCCTCGTTATAAACCAGAAGTCCATTTAATGAATGTATTTAACATCTTAAAGAAGCTGCCTTTAGCAACCCTATTCCAAGCCCCAACTGTGAGACTGATGATTAATAATGCAGTTTTGTTCACAGCACGCCTCTCCCCGCTACCCCGAGTTTGTTACCTACTAGACTGAGGTCGCCAGGATGCACTGAAGTTCCCACCCACAGCTAGCCAGCCACTCAGGGTTACCCCAAATTGCCCCATACAGCAGGATGGCTCTGCCTCCACCTTTAGAAGCATGCTTATTCAATGGCTAGTTGGCTTCTCTTTATTCATGTCTTGCTTATAAGCTTCAGCCCTACACTCCCACATAAGCAGTAAATCTCACATGGATGAGCCCCTCTTATACTTTCCTCCAGTGATGAATATGCCTCAGAGCCTGGCTGCTCCATATGCAATCTATAATAATAAAAGTGCAATATGCTAATTAGACCGGACAGCTGAACGACCTTCCGGACGTCCTTCTGGACAAAGCCAGGGCCGCGAGGGCCGAGCCCCTGGTGTGAATTTTGTGCATCGGGCCTCTCGTGAACAAATAATAAACATGACAGGCCCAGACTGTTAGCACAGGACAAGCTCTCCTAAACTTTATTTTAAAAGACACGATTTTATGCAATTGTTTTGCAATTCTTTTATTTAAAGGTTTTGTCAAGAAACACAGCCTTGCACGAGGAGGAGGCAAAAAGGAGAAGGGGCACACGCAGCTCACTTGTCTGCTCCACTAGCACACGGTCGGCAGGACTGGGTTTTACATTCATTTAAATGATATATTTGAAGCTGAACGTGCTGTCACAGGATAGGCGCTTGCCTTTGCATCTCCCACACAAATCTTGTCGGTGGGGCCGTTTAGGGTCAATGTGGCGAAGTTTTATGGAGCAGGAGCATCTAGTCTGTTTACAACTCTGAAAAATCAAATGAGAAGCGCGTTCAGAAGGAAACCCCTGGGTGACTTCCTGGAACTTTAAAAGTTTTTTCCTGGTCCAAATGCTGCTTGAATGCACTCTAAGCAAGGCCCTGTGCTAATCTTGCCTGAATCCTTTCTAGCAAGGAGAGGGTTATGAATAGAGGGTGCTTAACCCTTTGCCGTAGTCCCATGTTACATAGGATTTAGTTCGGAATTGTTTCTTTTGAAACAACTTTCTTACAGGAAGTCTTTTCCTGCACTTGAAGGGTGGAGAATAAGCAAGCTGGGGTGAGGAAATGAAAAACAAAAGAACTTTTAAATAAAAATAGAAGTACTGCAAAACAAGGAAAGCTACTGTGGGAGGCTAGTGCCTAGTAGCAAGCCATGGCTCTGGGCTGGCATCAATGGCCTGGCCTCCCCACCCCAACCTACTGCCAGCGACCTCACAGCGAGGCAGAAGGCAAAGACATCCTCCTTTAGGACCTGACCCAACTCTGCCAGGACCTCAGTGCGTCTACACGGTTTGCCACGCTTCTGGGGGACTTAGATTTACTTTCAAACAAATGATTCTCCTTTTTGCAAGCTCTCAGGCGAGACTGAACTTTAAAACCCCATGCTTAGCTCGGCCGGTGTGGGTGAGTGGTTGAGTGTCAACCTATGAACCAGGAGGTCAGGGTTTCAGGGTTCAATTCCCAGTCAGGGCACATGCTCAATCCTGGGACGGGGACGGGAGGGGGGGGGAGCGGGGGTGTGCAGGAGGCAGCTGATCAATGATTCTCTCTCATCATGAATGTTTATCTCTCTCTCCCTTCCTCTCTGAAGTCAATTTTTAAAAAAAAAAAAAAAAATTCCATGCTTATAGTAAATGCTTTAACTTGGGTGTGTGCTTCATAAGAAGCATCTGGGCCAAGCAGGCACCCTTTCCCACCCCATGTTAGCAGGACGGTATCCTATTTTTTTCAGTTTGCTATCCCTTACATTAGACTGAGCAGTAGGTGAGGCAAGTGTTCTTCCATATTGCTAGCGAGGTACTGGTCTCTAAAGAGGTTACCATGACCGAGATCTGCAAGGGCAGAAGGACACTGACACTGAGGCCTGTTGACCAGTTGAGCATTATTCCGAACTCCTACCAAAAAGCTGTCAAAACCTGGAGGTCACTGGGAACCTAGCCTCTTCTAGGAACTATATTCAACCAACTGCACCAAAGCCTCTACCACTCCCCAGTTCAGACAAAAATGCAAGCTCTGGGCTTACTTGACAGGTGATGGCCTCCACTCGGTAAGGGTTGTACGACTTCTGACAAGTCCTGCAGAACTGCTTAAAGTAAACCTGTGATGCGAGAGAGAGAACGTAAGGCAAGCCCGCGGGTCACCCCTGTCCGAAAGATGCCCGTCGGGGGCTGCTTACCTTGTTGGTGCCCTGCACACACCACACATAGGCACTCTCCCAGCGGATGTTGCAGTCCTTGCAGTGGTAATAGCCATATTTCTGCTCCAAGAACTGAAAAGGACACCAGAGTTTCAACCAACATGATATCGAATTGTTATCCTTCATTTCAGAGGCTGAGGAGCATCTATCTCCTACTTAACACTGGCAGCTTCATTCCAGTGGTGGAGGTAAGTAGGATCAGGTTCGAATCAGGAAGGAATGAGGCGAGCGAATGGCCTAACTGAGCAGATATGCAAACATGGGCCCAAGACGGTTTACGTGCCAGGTCAACTGGGTTCATAAAGCAAATTAATTGACAAGGACCGAGTCAGTGTTTTCCCTCAGACGGGCAAGGGGGAAGCCAAACACCCAGGTTCTCTACACCTTGGGTTCTTTCTGGAGGCTCTTCGGTTGGATCAAGTGATTTTAGAACTCAGACGTGGGGGTGGTTACGCTGAAGAACAGGAGTGAGACTCTGAATCCTCAAGTACTTTCAGGTGTTCACCCAAGATGAAGTTCTCCAGGCTGCTAGTTCAACGCCTCCGAACAGTAGAGTAGGAATCCAAATGGTGGGTAAGCCATAGCTCATGTGTAACATGAACAAAAGTACCACTGCCTTCCTCTTAAGCTGTCTTCCCTCCCAGGGAGAAACCAATAGCAAACAAGTCTTTGGAGTCAGGCCTTTCAAAGTGAAGGGAATTTGGGGGAGCGCTCAGCAACTTCACAGGTGAGCAAACTGAAGTCCGGGAAGGTTCGGAATTAAGATGCCACATAGTTAGTGCCCAGCCGGCGTGGCTCAGTGGTTCAGAGTCTATGAACTAGGACAGTGGTTCTCAACCTTCCTAATGCCACGACCCTTTAATACAGTTCCTCATGTGGTGACCCCCAACCATAACATTATTTTCGTTGCTACTTCATAACTGTAATTTTGCTACTGTTATGAATCGTAATGTAAATCTGATATGCAGGATGTATTTTCATTGTTACAAATTGAACATAATTAAAGCATAGTGATTAATCACAAAAACAATATGTAATTATATATGTGTTTTCCGATGGTCTTAGGCGACCCCTGTGAAAGGGTGGGTCAAGCCCCAAAGGGGTCGCGACCCACAGGTTGAGAACCGCTGATCTAGGAGGTCCCGGTTTGATTCCCAGTCAGGGCACATGCCAGGGTTGCAGTCCCTAGTAAGGGGTGTGCAGGAGGCAACCGATCAATGATTCTCTCTCATCATTGATGTTTCTGTCTCTCCATCTCCCTTCCTCTCTGAAATAATTGAAATAATTTAAAAAAAAAAAAAAGATTGCATATAGCCTGTGTATAAATTCTAGATTCACTCCTCTCCGTCCCCCCCGTGGCCTCTTGTACCTACCATGCCTTCCCACTCCCTGGTTTACAGCTGTCGGCAGTGGACGCCAGGCCTTTGGGGTTCAGCTAGTGGGGACTGGCCCTCCTGGCCTGCCATACCCAACAGCCCAAATGCTTCCGCACTCATGTTTCTGAGTGGAGGTGCTTTTCAGGAGCAAGGACAGACCCTGAGAGAGGCGCTACAGCGGATCTAGCTTCCAGCGGAAGCTTTGGGAAACCCAGCAAGAATCAGAGGCGAGGGGAACAGCACCCGAGTAGTCGACCGTTGTGGCTTTTGCCATTAAATTGAGGAAAGTGGGTGGGATCCTTGGGCATGAACTCTCCCGCCAGCAAGCCCGCCTTCTGATGCCCCCCGCCCCTACCCCAGTACCCACCCAGATCGTCCACACCGGGCAACGTGCCCACGATCGGCGTTTAGACAGCGAATACGCCCAGAATACGGACGTTTGAAGGGCGTCTCCCTCGCCAACCTCGGCGCCGGCGTTTTCAATCACAATCCGGCTACGATTAATTTACTCTTGGAGGCGGATGACGCCCGCTGCAGCCAGCGGCTGTGCAAGGCCCCCGACGTCCCCGGCGCCCAGGAAAGCCTTGGCGCCCTTCCAACGCGCCCCCGGGGTCCCCGCGCGCCCCGTCCCGCCCGGTCCCGGCCAATCTCGGGGCCTTCACCT